AATTTTTGTCAATTGAATGGACTGATTTTTGTCGAATTGTTTTTGTTGAATAATAAGAAATGATGCTCTTGTTGAAAAATAATGCGATCTAATTGCATTTTTTCCCCCATGTCAAGTATGTTCATGAATGTTTGTCCATTAGATTGAGATAGGATTAGCGTAGTAGTGGTAATCACGGTAACTGAATTCAAAACTCCAAAAATGAAAGGTAACTTGTTAAAACGGAGCTACTGCCATCATCCTGATGATACCTCCAAAACCCTGATGCAGTTTCTCTTCGAATTTACCAGTTCTTGAACAATTCTTTTCAAAATGTCCAAGTGTTCATAAAATATTCTCTTCACAACCTCCTCTTCAATCCTCTTCAAAAAAAAATTTATGGACGCACTTTAATGGTTGAGGCTGCAAAATTAAACGGATACGAAAAAATCTGACCTACGTGCATGGACGTGATAGAGATTTTCACAATATTAGTACCTCAGACAAAAACGCGAAAAACATAGACGTGCGGACCATATGTCCTTAGACCGCTAGCGCCTTCCGTCATTCCGCTTGTGCGACCCGTGTGCGATGACTATCTAAATCAATTTACTAAAGTAAATCCACAATAAAAAATTCGACAACCAGCTGGAAAAGTAATTAAATCATCGCTACGTGTGTAAAATAAATACTGCTTCACGCTGAGCAATCCCAATATAGGTACTAAATTAAAAAGAGAATAGGGCTGAATTCAAATAGATTAAATAAATTTTCATACTCTGGGTAGCTACTTAGGTAACCAACTTGAGAAAAGAATTAGATGCATCAATAATGAAAAATGGTGCTGATTTATACCCTGCTGATAATCACGGAAAGAAAACAAGAAAGAATCATGAAGACGGATGAAACTGTGACACGACAGTTTTCATCCGAGGAAACCATCCTTAAATATGTGTTAGACTGGTCGCTGGTGCACAGAAAAAAACAAGTTCATAAATGTACCCTGTAGAGCAAGCTCAATGAAGAAAAAATCACGGAGTAACCTGAAATAAAGAGGTTCCACTTAACACAGTGATTAAGTGACCGATTGTAAAAACTTCAGGCTTACGACTTGGGTACCGGTTAGTCTTAACGATGCGACGCGACGGCAGGGTAGCGAATAATGAACAAGGGAACGAGATAATAAAAACTGTCTTCAATCTTGTTTTCCTTTCACCTTTTTCTTTTCATTGATTGCCCGAAAGGAGCTACCGAGCATCAAAGTTGAAAATTTAGGAAAGTTCTGCTTTTTAATTTAAAAAAAGCGTATTCTTGTAAGCATTGCAAAATTTAGCTCAACTACGACGGTGAGTTGAAAGGTAGTGCGACAGCGCACAGCAGAGAACAACCGAGTTATATTTTGAAAATGATCACGTTTTGGTTTATTTTAATTGCGAGTAATGGCATTCTTCCTCCGGCAAAAAAATCAAATCCTGAGAGAAATTTATTCCCGCCAATGATTGAATTCAGGTTGAGTTTTTTTGTATTGAGTCATTTTGAGGAAGGCAACTTAAAATTATTTTTCATTGATTTAATATGATGTGAAATTTTGTTGCGCTTCCTCAATACTCATGTTGACGAGTCTGTCGCGTCTCTCCATCGGCAAGTATCGAATGGCAAAGACGAGAAGTGGAAGTGGAGGCCCATCTTCCATGGCGGTATGCTTTCGGCCTAGTCGACATTTTGAAGGCGTTTTTCGCCACGGATCGCTTCCCGAAGTCATCGAACAAAATGGTGCTGGGGCACAGCTCAGGATTTCACACACCAAACGAACCTACTTACGCTGTTGCTGAGATTTTGCAAGATGTGTCTCAGTTCTAAAGGTTCTAAAGGTCTCGAGACGTGATCGAATTCCCGTACCAATCACCATCAAAGTGTCATCAGTCTTAAAATCGCTACTTTGCTTAATTTTAAAACAGAGACAAGGCAGACATGTTTCGGGCGGCAGGAAATGATGAATGGTGGCACTCCAGTCTGATCAAAATTCGACAGCCCGTTCAATTCTTATCAACGAGAACTGTTGGACGGTGACCATCAGTCATCAACGGATCTACTTTGATCAGAATCGGTTCGGAATTCGATCGTGCATCGAGACCTTTGTCCTTACATTCGGCTTCGTGGACTTTTCATAGAGAAACTCCCTCTAAACGTTGGTCGTATTTTCATTATGTACACTTTTATATCAAACTGATTGCGGTACACGCACGGGTCGTAAGACAGTAAGTTGGAACTTTTTAAGCAGCGTGCGTTAAAAATCAGCAGAAAGCTGAAAATCTCAGGTAGCAGGAAATTCAGGAGGCTGCGCTGCACTGAGGATTGGCCTAATAAGGCCGAAACGGTTCTGCAGTTGCCTTCCTGAATGGTCGTTTCTAGTGTTGCACCAAAAAGCGTATCTCTCTGAGGGAAATCTGTGCTCATATGAGTTTTTTCCCTCTGTATTGAGATTTTCAGCTTCATGCTGATTTTTAACGCACGTTGGCTAAAAAAGTCCAACTCACTGACCTTTATCTCAGGCCACTGAATGTTCGTTGAATGGGTGAAGCAGTCGCAGAATCTTAGCAAAACCTGAGGGTGCTCACCTGCAAGCTGATTATTGAAATTGATAGACAAAGCAATAGACAAAGAAGACGGAAAGGATATGGAGGGATCTTATTGGTGGAAGCGGGTGCATGGTTGCAATGGACAAAGGACGCAGGTAATAGAGTAACTAACGGCAACCCACGAGAGACCCGATAGTTAGTCCATTTACCACCTTTGTCTATAAGAACTACCCATTTCAACCAATAGGATCGCTCCATACTCCTTATGTCTTCTTTTTCTATAGTTTTGTCTGTATAAATTTCAATAATCGGCCCACAGGTCTCGAATCTCCACTCTTCTTGTAGTGACATCGCTCCTGAGACAATCATTGTCTATACCCGGTATCCTGCGCCAAGATTACAACTAAGTACAAGTCCATCAGCACCTGGATTATCGAATCGTCATCGAATGACTCCGATCGATACATCGTTTCATCCCTATCTTCGCAACGATATTTATCGATCAAGAATCGATAAAGATTCGACCACCGACCTATTGGTCCCGGTCACGGTTAAAAGTTGATGACAACGGTGGAGAGAGAGAGACCGAGAGGATCAGATAGTGTTCGTGGCTCCCCAGTGGCGTGGCGTGCTTAGCGACATATCGATTGTTATGCAATTTAAACCCATGGTAAAGAATCGATTATTAAGGTGTTCGCTGCGAACACCCTGTTTATCGATCCTTTTCCATGGGTTTAAATGGCATGGCAATCGATATATCGCAAAGCACGCCACGCCACTGTGGCTCCCACCTCGACTTCCACCTCCGTCGAGAGCTCACGTTGAAGAAAACGTTGGACTGGGGACTCGTGAGTCGTGAATTACCCGCAGCGGGGCCGATTTCGGGTGATGAAACCGCGCTTCAAGGAGAGTCGCCTTCCACAGAAAAGCCTTGGTTTACATCGTTCGGTCAAGTACAGAATTACAGACGTCCACTCACACAATGACCGGACAAGAGCCGGTTCCAGTCCTCGACAATTTATGGTACTGCGCAACATCCACGGAATGGCCCCCCGCGATTTTTCACTCTATCTGCGGGCCGATTATTGAAATTGATAGACAAAGCTATAGACAAAGGAGACAAAAGAGATATGGAGAGATCCTATTGGTGGAAGCGGGTGGTTGCAATGGACAAAGGAGGTAGGTTAGACTATAACTAACGGCAACACACGAGAGACCCGACAGTTAGTCTACCATTTTCTCTCTTTGTCTATTGGAGCCACCCATTTCAACCGATAGGATCGCTCCATACTCCCTATATCTTCTTTGTCTATAGCTTTGTCCATCAATTTCAACAATCATTCCGCTGTTGGGAGAATGTAGCAGGGTGTCTATGAACTCGGGTGTCTGAAATTTGATGAATTTCGTATCTAAGTGGAAACTACTGAGTGAGCTGAACACAAGGATGCCCTTGGTCCATGAATTGAACAATTATTGTGGAAGATATGACAAAATGATCTAATCTGCAAAAATACGTGTGTTTAAATGGGAAATGCCGCCAGATGACGTCACTAGGCGGTGCATTTTCTCACTTTGAAATCTATTTTCATATTATTTCCCGTATCAGAAAAAGTTAATAAAAAATACTGTGGAATTAGCTCTTTCAGCACTTTCAGATGAGGCAATAAAAAATTTGTATGCAAACTCTCCATTCTCCAGGTATTCCCTCGCCAAAATGATCTAAATTTCCTGACTTCACACATCGGAAATTCTTCGTTTCCGAACGACAAAACGTAACTGCATTTCAACGTTGCAAAACTTTCACTCGCGAAATGCATTTTGAAAAGGAGACTCGTTGGTATTCCCGACTGAAAGTTTCACTGGTTTTTCTTTTAACCGTTTCTGATGTGTAGCGAATCAAACAAAATTTCTACAGGAATCGCGGTTTTTTTTTCAAAAATTGAATTGTTCGGGTCGATTTTATGACATTGGAATGGAGTAACGTTCCTTCGCTGGGAAACGACGGCTTTACACGCGTAAAGCTGGAAAGGGCATATTTTGGGCACTTTCATTGCAAAAAAACAGGAGCACGTGAACCTTTTTCAGTTAGGTACGTTTTAACCAATCGATTAACTAGGACTGTAATCTCTCATTGAAACTTATTCACCATGTTCTGTTTCAGGGTGAAACTCAGGACATTGAGCCCTTTTGAACATCAAAGCTCTTTTCAACAACAATTCTCTGATTTTTTCCTGATTTTCCTGACCTACTAGAATTCTCTGCCTAATCGAGGTTTGCAGAGCCCGTTTTTTTACCTTGTCTGGTAGTACATTTTTTCGACGCATGATCCAAGTCTCGTTCGCATTGCCACGCGGTTCGTCAGCAACGAAATAACATACATCCACTCTACACTCGCAAAAAATTTCAACTACAGAAATACTATAAAACATTGAGGAAACTTACGTTTATTTTCAAGGGACTATTGGTGATTTCCTCGTCGGGACTGAGGCGCGAGATCCGTTTGCGCCAGTCCGAGCTTCCGCTCTTCTGAAGGGCTGCCAGCCTAAAAAAGAACCAAAAACGCGGATTTTAGTCTAAAGAAACTGAGTATAGATCCACGACTGAAAATGCACGCCGAGGAGTGAAATAACGGCTCCACTCCCACACTTCCGACTGCGGGAAATGAAAACATACTCGAATAATTAAGATTAAAGCTCTCTACATCAGCGCACTCGCGCTGAGAGGATGAGTCACGGAATTAGATTGTCGGTCGGTCACTTACTACAGGTGGGAACCGTGTTATCTGTGACACTTCACTACGTAAAAAAAGAAACAGACAGAACAAAATTTTGCGCTATACGGGTGCACTGCGATGCGTAACACGGTCAGTGGCGTGGCGTGAATTGCGATGTATCGATTGTTATGCCATTTAAACTTATGGTAAAGAATCGATTAGTAAGGTGTTCGCTGCGAACACCCTGTTAATCGATCCTTTTCCATAGGTTTGAATGGCATAACAATCGATATATCGCAAAGCACGCCACGCCACTGAACACGGTCCAAGTCAGTGAACGCGTACCCGCATGATCTGCATCGGTAAATTGCAATGACAACAGTATGTACTGCCTTGCTAAGAAAAACGCCGTATGAGCCTACAGGCGTTGCCAAATTTCCTGTGAAAACCACGAATTTTCTGGTGAACTTATGACCATGTTTCTTCCAATTTTTGGGATAATTTTGCTTCCAATTTCTCCTAAAGTTCCTGAAAGTGTCAATGAAAAATGTTTATATTCTACCCCAAAAAATAAACATTTTCTTGGAGGAAATTTGGAAACTCTCGAGTGTTCATACGGCGTTTTTCCTTAGCACGGCGGCTTATTGCATAGCAGAGCGGCTCGCAATAGAAGAAAAATAGACAGCGTGTTGGTGATTTTGCCAACGTGCGACAAAAAACAGAAAGAAACTGACATTGGACTGCATTTTCCAATTTGGAACTATAAATTCTAACCCGGTTTAAAAACAACGTATGCGCCATTAGTTTCCGTATGCACATACGTGTTTTTTCAGATGAGCCAGAATTAATAGCTCCAAATTGCAAAATGCAGTCTAATTGTCATTACAGAAAGGAAAGCTCATTCGAGCGCAATACACCTTCATATAGGAATGCTGTTTGGTGCAACACGTAGAACACAGATCTCCCATGGGTCCGTTGCACTAGTCACAGAATCTTATTTTGATTATTACAAAACATAGATCAGCGAAAAATAATAAGATTCGTCCATATGTCTAATTTCTACGTCTAGTATTAGTGAAGGTATCACCCTTCAAAAAATCCGGCATATGACGTTATCCATCGCGTTTTTGGAAGGGTGATATCTTCAATAATACTTGACGTAGAAACTAGACATGGACGAATCGTATTATTTTTTAACTGATCTATAAGCTTAAACCATCAGAACGCGATTCTACGACTGCACCATTGCGATCACCCGTTACATTCGTTTCACCACCGGGTAGATATCAGTATGGCACTCGTTCGGAAAAATGAACCCTGTTGAATTTAGAAACGTGCGTTAAGATGGAGGACGACGAAAAGAGACGAGATGGAGGCAGACTGACCCGCAGTGGCGTGGCGTGAATGATCGATTATAGATATCTCGCCATTTGAAGCTATGGTAAAGAATCGATTACTAAGGTGTTCGCTGCGAACACCCTGATAATCGACCTTTTTTCATAGGTTTGAGTGGCGTGTCAGTCGATACATCGCAAAGCACGCCACGCCGCGCCACTGAAACCGAGAGAAAATTACGACGGAACAAATCGAAATGATGTAACTACGCGGGTTAGATGATATCTATTCGGGATGAAAAGGACTCGAGGCAAATGATGATTACTCTCATTACATGCGCAGCTCTCAGCGTTGGCGTTGGCTCGCCGACGAAAATCTCCGAGACTCAGACCTGGGAGTTTCTACTTTTTCATAATTTACACAACGGAGGACCATTCATGACAACGGAAAACTTATTGCAGCAAGTTTGATGGTTTCAGGCAACGTAACGCCCTGACCGAAGGTACTGCGGGTACACGAACTTTATGTCCACTTTTTTTACGTCCACAGACTTTTCGTCCACACTGTTTACGTCCACAGTTCTAAAGCCCACACTATTGTTAAGTCCATTACTTAAACGTCCACTAAGTTAAGTCCACAAATGGAAAGTCCACTAAAATCAAATTCAAGCGTTATATTTTAGTCCGTGTGTAAAATTATATTGACAATATCGAAATGAGAAAATTAAGAGAGAATAAGGTGTTGTTATCGTAACTCGTATTTTAAATGAAATGCTAATTTCTTGTTTTGATTCATCTTTTCAAATTGTCTTTGGTAAATACTTGGTTTCATTTTTATGCTGGAAATTTCCGATATAAAATGTGCCTTAAATGGACATTCTTTTTTTTTTTTTTCAATGAAATTGATTACTTCATTTTAAAAACATTTACAATACGTGGTAAATATTTGTAAACTCTTTTCCAAGCAATGGCATCGATATGAATCTCAATGAGCCGTAGTTGTGATGAAAGAAACTATACAAAAATTAATAAAAGAGGAAAAAAACTAGGAAGAACGCAATTTTTTGTTTTTAACTTATTTGTACATCGACCTGCTTGAGTCAAATACGTCAAATTTTGAGCGTTTAGTTGCGCTTATACCACGCTGCAGCACAATAAAAGCCAAAAACGTAAAAGAATAAATTTGAATGCTTTGGAAATCATTAAATTTGACACGGAACTACTCTTATATTTGCAAAAAACACATTATGTTTTCCAGTAGTACATATTTCTTTTTCATTAGTTTACAAGGGAATAATCAATGCAGAGAGTGCAAACATTTCAAAATCATGAGTTGAAAAACGCTGACTCCGCGAGTTTAAATATTAGAGCCTAACACAGAGCGGAGCGGCGTGTTAGCAGCGCAGAACGCGCACTGGCGCCTACAAACCTAACGGGATACTTCACGCATTGCGCAACACGTGAAGTATCCCGTTAGGTTTGTAGGCGCTTCTGCGCGTGTCACGCTGGTTGCCTGCCGCCCCGCAACGCTTTAAGCAACTATTTCGCGTCAGAGGCGTAGCACAGTATCCTACAAGATTGAAGGCGCACGAAATAACTAGAATATATAATAAATAACGAAATAACCAATATATTCCACGGCAGGTATATGAAAAACTATCACAACTATTGTAGGATCAATTTCCCCACGAGAGTCTCCAGCGGAGAAAGTCTGATCGTACGAGCCGAGAACAATTTTCAGTCTTGGAACGTGCCGCCACAATAATTACCGATTTATAATGAGTTCAGTCGAAACAAGTTGCAATGGTGTAATGAAAAATGGGTTGATGTGCTGTGCCGCCGCGCTGCGCCCCGCGATGTGGACGCTCACAACACAACCACAGCTCTCGATCCTGTGCTCCTGTCGGTGTCTCATTGCTCTTGACCTGTTTCGGGTGAAAGTTCGGCGCGGTGGCTTGTATAAAAACCAACACGATTGACGCATCGTCCTGATGAACCGTACCTTTGAGGTCGAAAATTGAGTCGAGAATCTAGATCATATCTCTGTCTGCTTATTCAGAAAAGATCTACACTGGAAAAAAAAGTTTGCTAGTATGCACCAAAGTTTGGTGTTCCATATCATCCCAACTAATTCGGTTCGTCAAACTGAATTTTCGGTTTGTCAAACCGATCTTTCGGTTCGTGTAACCGAACTTTAGCGTCAAAGTGAACTGACGAACTAAGTTTGATCACATATGCTGAACGTTCGGTTACACGAACCGAAAGTTCAGTTCGGCAAACCGAATTTTTGGGATGAGAGGGAACACCGAACATTCGGTTCACATAACCGATTTTTTTCCCCTCAGTGTAATAATTGAAATGACAGAAGGTTTCAGCAATCAGTCGACTTTTGTGATTACTTCCAATTGAAACTCGATTCATGCAAAGAGATCGAAGGTGTTTTGGGCTACTCTCACCAAAAAATACGAAAAAATGATTAGAATGTAATCTCAAAAATGATACTTCGTCACCTTCCGGCCGAAGTATTACAAGCGCCACGCGACGTTTCAAAATTTCCGCCGCCATTTTATTTTTTTACTGAGATATGTTGGTTGAATCTGTTTGAAAAATTCACTGAATTCACTGGGCATATGCAGCACAAAGAAAATGCAGTGGAATTTTCGGACAGTTTCGGTGAACAATTTCTCTGTAAAAAAAAAGAAAAAAAAGAGAAAAAAACGGCGCACGGCGCTTGTGATACTTTGACCGAAAAGGGACGACTTCGCTCACCCGGCTATTCCGCAAACAGTGGCTTGACGTGAAGGATCGATTATCGACATTTCTCCATTTGAAGCTGTGGTAAAGAATCGATCATCAAGGTGTTCGTTGCGAACACCTTGATAATCGATCCTTTTCCAAAGATTTAAATGGCAGATCAATCGATAAATCGCAAAGCACGCCACGCCACTGTCCGCAAAATCTCTTGACATTTTTTGGACGGGGTCAAGAAGATTTTTATTCGGAGAGGGGGGTTGGGCTCTTTTGATTCCACCCATGCTCGTCGGCATTGACGGATCTAGCAAACTGGCAACATCGTCTTTCCTTCATTTAAAGCTATGAAAAAGTATCGATTCTTGGAGGGGCCAAGTGCTCCAAGCAGAATCGATTATTTAACATAAGTTTAAATGGAGGAAATCCAGGGTTGCCAGATAGATCCGCCTCTGCTCGTGGGAACCAAAAAACCTCTTGGACCAATGCCGCATTGCATTGACTTAAGAGTGCAGTTTCTTGTCGCCGGATTTAAGAGTCTTCAGCTCTTGTTTCAAGCGGATTTTGCATTGACTCAAGCGGATTTTGCATTGAAAAAAGAGTCCAGAATCTTAAATCCGGCGACAAGAAACTGCACTCTTGAACCAAGAGGTTTTTTTTACCAGTGCGCCGATTAAATCGGAAACCTAGAGAGATGCAAGACCCCCATCTTTAAAGCTTACCTTTGAGCGATGCTTCCGCCATTGGTGGTGCTCTGGTCGACTTCGTCTTTGGCGCAGGGTGGCTGCGTGCTGAACTTGCGAAGTCCGCCGTTGAGCGAAGGCGGCGTTGCCTCATTCTTGATCATGGTCGTCCCCGTCCCCGTCCCTTTCCCGGGAACACGAACCCCCTCTACCGCACTCGCGCAATCATCCCCACTCCCCCGCGATCCGGACTTCCTCCTCCCGCTGGAACTTACGCTCCTTTTCGTCTTCCCCAAGGGTTCCTTCAACGCTCCGCTTTTCTTCCTGAAACACATGACAAAAAGTTCACGATGAGTTTTTATTATTTTTAAATAAGGGGGGTGGGAGAATCAGGGGCGCCAAATACTGAAGTGCAATCACCAGGCATTTGAATGAACTCCACACGAAGAGTTCAATAATTCGGTAAGAAAATGCCAAGCGTTAACCTTTCAATGTGATCTTCTCTGTAGTCGACAACCTTAAAGAAAGGTCGCCGTTCGTTTTTATCTTAGGATGCCAAACAAAATCATATGCGTCCTTTTTGATGTTGATTTATTTCGTGCGAATGAGATTTCTAATTAAATTATTTGATATTAGAACTAAGAGCAACCACTTTCTTTTTTGAACAGACGGAAAAGTGCCAAAAGCAGCCTTACTCATACGGACCACATTTTGCAATAAGGAGCCACTATTTCTGACTAATTTTAGAAACAGCATATATGCCATCGATTTCCCTATGCAGAAGGGTGCTTTTATGGAAGAGCTAGAGATAGGGGTTCCTTATTGCAAAATGCAATCCATATAATACCATCTGATTGATTCAGCTTAGAGAAGTTACTCAAAATTAATCATACGTGATTGACAGAATTAATACTGAAAATCTGAGAGACATGGCCAAGGTGAAGCACTCAGAACAAGGAATTTTGGATTTTCGTGTAATATCCTACAAAATTTCGTCGTAATAATTCATTTTCTGCGATTTTTTATCATTGCCTCCCTACCCCGAAGAAACTTCCCTTCCACGTCTCTACAGACCAAAATGACATCAGATTTTAAGAGCACTCCCAAAGTCGGCTCTGCCTCACCTGCTATCGGGTTCCAACTCCTACTTGACATATTCATAGTACTGCCGTGCTAAGGAAAACGCCGTAAGAGCCTTCAGACGTTGCCAAATTTACTTTGATAAACTACGGATTTTCTGGGAAACCCATGTATATTTTCCTTCCAATTTTTTGTATATTTTTATTCGCAATTTAATCTAAAATATCTGAAAATGTCAAGAAAACATATTCATAATAACTCTCAAAAATAAACAATTCATCTCGAGAGACTTGGCTATACATTCGAATGCTCATGAGGCGTTTTTAATTAGCAAGACAGAGTACCAGCCCAGCAACGAAGTAGCAAGAACAGTATGTGCCTGGCTCCTCAGAGTTCAACCGAAACTCCACGGTCTCACCAAAATGGAGATGTTGCATGTGTGAGGGCTTTGCGATTTGACAATCGATTCTTACATAATAGTTCACGAGAAACACGATGGTGCCTTTGGTTTTCTCTGAAATCATCTCCCAAGCTCAAAAAAAACTCTCAAAGTGAGGCCAAAATGAAGGAGATATCCCACCCTACCCTGAGAGTCCACCTCTACATCAAAACAAACTCTCCTTACATAGATGGGAGCAAATAAATTAGCAGGGTTGTCACTTTATTTGGGGACTCCAAAACTGAAAACACGGCAACCCTTCTAATGTATTTGCTCCCTATCTTTGCATGGAGAGTTTGTCTTGATGTAGAGGTGGACTCTCAGGGTAGGGTGGGATATCCCCTCCATTTTGGCCTCGCTTTGAGAGCTTTTATTGAGCTTGGGAGATGATTTCAGAGAAAACCAGTGGCACCATCGTGTTTCTCGCAAACTTTTACATAAGAACCAATGGTCAAATCGCAAATCCCTCACACATGCAAAATCTCCATTCATGTTTCTGCGCGTTTTCCGGTAAAATTCAATCAATGAGAATTTTTCTTCCTCTCGCTGGAGCTGTGCTTTAAAATGACGTCAGCCCATTCATTTTTGAGAGTAGATGAAAATTCCGAAAACAGCATCCGCGCCGAGTACGGGTGCTCGAAAGACAAACAGCATTCAAAGATCAACCTTGGGACTCCTTACGTGTAGATGCTAATAAACTGCACAGTCGTTTTCTATTGAATGTGCTCTCTTGTTCCGCTTATGCCTGCGATTCCATGATACTCTGCCGTGCTACAGAAGAACGCCGTATGAACATTCGAGAGTTGCCAAATTTCCTTCAATGAAATGTTTGTTTACAAGGGAAGTTAAGAATATTTTTCATTACAATGGAGATGTTGCATGTGTGAGGGATTTGCGCTTTGACCATTGGTTCTTGTGTAAAAGTTCGCGAGAAACACGATGTGGCTACTGGTTTTCTCTGAAATCAACTCCCAAGCTCAAAAAAAGCTCTCAAGTTGAGGCCAAAATGGAGGGGATATCCCACGCTATCCTGTTAATCCACCTCTACATCAAGACAAACTCTACATGCAAAGATAGGGAGCAAATGCATTAGCAGTGATGCCGTGTTTTCAGTTTTAGAGTCCCTAAATGAAGTGGCAGCCCTGTCAATGGATTTGCTCCCTATCTTCGCATGGGGAGTTTGTCTTGATGTAGAGGTGGACTCTCAGGGTAGGGTGGGATATCCCCTCCATTTTGGCCTCACTTTGAGAGCTTTTTTTGAGCTTTGGAGATGATTTCAGAGAAAACCAGTGGCACCATCGTGTTTCTCGCGAACTTTTACATAAGAGTCAATGGTCAAATCGCAAATCCCTCACACATGCAACATCTCCATTTTCCGGAACTTTAGGTGAAATTGCAAACAACATCATCGGAAAAATTGGAAGAAAAACATTCATGAGTTAATAAGGAAATTCATGTTTTATGAATGTAAATTTGGCAACGCCTGAAGGTTACGTTCTTCCTTAGCACGGCAGTAACTGAACTACCTATCCGCATCGTGCTGGGAATCTTTCCCGGAGCTCACAGCTAACATGCTAACATCAGAGTGCATTCAACCAAAATTCTTGTACGACGCGTCGAAGAAAAAAAAAGAACAAAAACAGAGAGGAAAGAGCCGCTATTGGACATAATCTTTGGAGGATACACTGGAAAAAAGTCTCATGGATCTAGAGTTCCGATTCTTAAAAAAATTGACGAGAAAAAATACTCTTCATTCAATCGGGTTTTTGCTTGAATCGAGAGCCAAACCTCTTGATTTAAGCGGATTTTCTATTGATTCAAAGGAAAATCCGATTGAACCAAGAGTATCTTTCAATCAAATTTTTGAAGAGTCTGGACTCTGGATCCGAGAGATTTTTTTTCCAGTGTGCACGCTCTCACTGCCAACCCCTAGAGAGTTCAAATCTTTTAAAAGGTAAATTTCGAAAAATGTGGACAAATGCCCATTTCAAATTTTTACATTCGGGACCGGCTAAGATATAAATAGTAGATAGTAGATAATAAATAGTACGGTCCTCGATCTCATTTATCGTTTACTGATTTGAAGATGTAGGAAATCTTTACAGCGTGTTAGCCGTTTCAGCTCCATCAGTTAGAATAGAGTCCGAGCTGTTGACTCCTTCTCTGGAGGCATTCATCAACACGCGCAACGCAGAATATTCAAATCTAGATGATCGCATGCAAGAGGTTACATAATGTAATTGCGACGATTGGTCGAACCTCGTGGAATTTGCGAAGCGCACGACACCAAGCATACGATAAAAAATTTATGCCTGCGGCAATCACACCTTGATTCCGGAGACAATCTTCCTAGGCGAATCCTAAGACGAGAATTTCAGTGGGAAAAAAGGAAGGAAAAAGTTACGTAAAGAGAAGCAGACAATTTTTTGTAAACTTCGTAGAGGCTCTTTTATCCATTACGTTGATCTTTGATCAATATTAAGTATCTACTGCTTCTAAAATCGAAAAAGCTGGTTGGTTCCGAGAAGCACCTTAAAAAACTGAACTGGGTCATTCTTACATAACTGGGTACAACGTAAATAATTTAGATGGAGCCGCGACAAAATTTTTCCAAATTCTATTAGCTGATTCATTATTTGTCTGGATTGCTGAAAAATTTAGAATCCTGGGAGAATCGAATGATGAAACAGAATAAAAAAAAATGTGCGAAAAGGTTTGGAAACTCTAAAAACATTTTATTAGGAAAATACTGCGACTTATTAACTGATTACGTAACTTTTATTTTTTGTGGCATGTTTCTTTCCAGCTTTGTTAAAATTTTCTAATCTTCATTTATCGAATTTTTTTCATTGCTAATTTAAATGTTATCGATTAACAATTTCGGTTTTGACGCCTATTTCTTCAAGGTATATCATCATGACGTTTTCTTTAGTTTACGGTTAGCTTTATGCTTTAACTTTTGCTTGCTCCTACAATTTTTGTAGTTTTCTTGAATAAGTTTTTATTTTTTAGTTTATTGTTGACCATTGTTGTTTTAATGTAGAGCGGTTCCTGCAGCAATGGTGAAGTTTCCCTCGTTTTTCAAAGAAAGAAAAATAAGAAAGAAAAACGGAAAAATTGGAGAGACAAATCAGCGTGATGTTAAATCTTCGTTTTTTACTGCCCTCTCATTCGTTTGGGATTAGCTTCAACTGAATCCGTGACTAAAACCGACATTTTCTAGATGAGTACGTGTTAATCGCATGAACCAAGTACCAAGCTCTTGCATACGCGTGAGAAAATTTAAAAAAGTTCGGCACGCAAAATAAGCCTAGGTATTAAATGATTCTTGAAACTTCTTTAACGGAATACAATCAGTCAAACTCAGAGTAGTAAGTAAAACTGTAATACAAAAAACTAGATTGGAGCATAATAACAGAAGAACAGGAACAGAATAGGACGGAACAAAGATAAAATATTATCTCACAACTCGGTATATTCCAGTTTAACGGTCCTACACGTCGAATGAAGATGACGATCGATAATTGAGGTTCAGACAATTATTATTTCTGTTGTGGGGAAAGAATATTACGGCGAACGTATTGGATAAATAACTGCGGAATTCGTCCTTAGATATGAGTTAAAAATGTTACCCAATGGAGCATTTGAAGGTGTCAGATATCTGATGATGAATTTCATGTTTAAGATGAGACTATTTCATGAGAACTAAGTATAAAGATATACTTGGTCTTTAAATTAAACAATTATTGGAGAAATTGTGTCAAAATAATCTTATCCACTAAAATACATGTGTTTAAATGGGAAA